CCTCGTTCTCCAGGAACCTAGTTGGTGTCGGCTGCCTCCAGGACCTTGGCGTCACCACTACGTTCCCTGGTCACGAGCGGTACGCTGTCTGTACCGAGGCCGCCACTGGTGCCCCCCTCACCACGTTCCCCCGGGACCGGATGTCCGGCCTGTTCACACTGGACACCGCGACCCCCCCGGTTGGGACGTCTCCTTAGGTGGCTGCGTCTACCCAGGTTGTTGTGGCCTGCTCCTGTCGGTCGCTCACTCACCCGACACTCCTGTGGCACCACCGTCTAGGTTACCCCGCCCTCCAGCGTCTACGTCACATGTCACAGCACGGTCTTGTCCTACGTCTTCCAGGGTCGTTCTCTGAGTTGCCCTCCTCCCCAGCACCACCGTGCACGCCCTGTGTCGAGGGCCGGCCCCAACGTGCCCCTCACTCCTCCTCGTTCCCCCCTACCGCCGCACCACTACAGACTCTGCACCTCGACCTCTGGGGCCCCGCCCCCGTCCATGGGCCGCGCCGAGAGCGCTATTTCCTAGTGCTTGTCGACGACTACACGCGCTACACCACGGTGTTCCCCCTGGAGCGGAAGGCCGACGTGCCTGACGTTCTCATCCCATGGCTTGTCTCTGCGCATGTCCACCGTGGTCTCCTTGTCTTGCGTCTCCACTCCGACCGTGCTGGCGAGTTTGCATCTGGTTTCCTTGGTCGTTTCTGTCGTGCGGAGGGCATCACCCAAACGTTCACCCTGCCGGACTCCCCGCAGCAGAATGGGGTCGCTGAGCAACGCATCGGTTTGGTCATGGAGGTGGCTCGTACCTCGATGATCCACGCTGGTGCACCCCATTTTCTGTGGCCGTTCGCTGTTTGCTGCGCCGCTCATCAGCTTAACCTGTGGCCGCACCCCCAGCAGCCGCAGGTTTCGCCAACCCTTCTTTGGTCCGGGTCTATTGGTGACGCGTCTGTGTTTCACGTCTGGGGCTGCCTTACTCACGTTCGTGCCTCTGGCACAGACAAGCTCACTGCCCACAACCTCCCTTGTCTCTTCCTTGGTTTCCCCCTTGACGCGTCCGATTGGCACTTCTACCACCCGCCGGCTCACTGGTTCTTTCACTCCCGTGACGTCACCTTTGGCGAGTCCGTCTCCTTCTACCGCCGCTTCCCCCACAGAGGTCCCCCGGTTACTCCCCCCCTGTTCCTTGTCACCCCTTCCCCGGTCGCCCCTGTCCACCCCCCTCTCCCTCCCCGTCCTGCACCATCTGGTGTGTCTCACGTCACTCCCCTCCCGTCGGTTGTCCTGGTCAAGGAGTCTGCTGACTCTGGTGGCCCTGCAGCACAGTCCTCGCCGCCTGCCCCTTCCCACGCATCTCCTCCTCCGCCGCCTTCGCAGCTGCCGCCGCCGCCGCTATCGCACCCGCCGTCACCGCTGCCGCCGCCGCCGCAGGCGTTGCCGCAGCCGTCGCAGCAGCAGTTCGTTGACTCTTGGGGTGCTGGTGTTGGGATGGGTACTAGTCCTTTGGTTCCTGTCGTGGCTTGTCCCGGCGGGCCTGGGGGTGGTACCGGTGTTCACGGGGTTTCGGGCTCTGGGAGTGTTCCTTTTGGGGGTGCTGAAGTGGAGTGTTCCGGAGGTAGCCGTGGAGCAACTTGCCGTCCCTGTGTCGGTGTCGGGCCGCCGCAGCAGCAGTCACCGCCGGTGTCAGCCCTTCGCCTGCTCGGCCTCCCCTCCCCTGACCACATCTCTGTGGCTCCCCTGCCATCTCCTCCCCTTCCTGTTTACGGCCCTGTGTTCCCTTCCCCGGACTCGTCTTCGGCTCGTCTTCCTCCTCGTTTCCCTCCTGTGCCCCCTCCTCTGTCTCCTGACTCGACGCCTCCGTGTTACGTCTGGTCTCATCGTCCCTCCCGTGCTCGCCCCGTCTCCCCTGTCCCGCGCTCTCATCGTATGTTGCTTCATTCTCACGCGTCTCGTTCTCCACTCCTACCGTCGCCGCCTCCGTCCTCTCTTGTTGTTGCGCCTTCCCCCCTGTCTGACTACCTTCGCGCCGCTTGTCCCCTTGTTCCTCGGGTCCGTGCCTCCCTCGTTACCGACCCGTCTGTTCCCGTCTCGTCTCTCGCCACTCTTGTCGCTGCGGTCGCTGACTTCGCCTCTACCTGCCGCCTTGACTACGCCACCACTCTGGTCTCTGACCCTGCCTGTGCTCCGTCTGTCGAGGGTGCTCTTGCCCTCGGCACTGACGTCCTGGATGATCGCCAGTACGAGCTTGCTTTCCTGTCCGAGGCTGCTCCCCGTCTCTGTTCCATGTTGTTTGTCCCTGAGGGTGACCCAGACGCTTTCGACATCCCGACCCCTCGCACTTACGCTGAGGCGACCTCGGAACCTTGGGCCTCTCAGTGGATAGCTGCCATGGAGTAGGAGATGGCATCTTGGAGATCCACCGGCACCTACGTCGACGCATTTCCTGCACCTGGGGTAAACGTAGTCGATGGCCGGTGGCTCTTCAAGATGAAGCGCCCTCCTGGAGAGCCGCCTGTGTTCAAGGCGCGCTACGTCGCTAGAGACTTTAGTCAGCGTGAGGGGGTGGACTTCTTTCAAACTTTCGCCCCGACCCCGAAGATGACTACTCTTCGGGCACTGCTACACATAGCAGCACAGCGTGACTACGCGTTACACTCCCTCGACTGCTCCGTTGCGTTTCTTCAGGGCAGTCTACACGAGCAGGTCTACCTGCGCCGCCCTCAGAGTTTCACTGGTACCTTCCCTCCTTGGACCCAGTGGCTTCTGCGGCGCCAAGTGTACGGCTTGCGTCAGGCTCCCCGCGAGTGACACGACATTCTGCGTGCTACTCTTGCAGACCTGCGAATCTTTCCGTCTTCCGCAGACCCCTCGCTCTTTGTTTGTTCTGGCCAGACTCCGTTCTACATCCTTGTTTGCGTAGATGATCTGGTCTTTGCCACTGCAGACACCACCGCGCTGGCCTTTGAGAAGGAGAAGGAGACACACCTGCACTGACCTAGGAGAACTGCGCCACTACCTGGGCTTGCAGATCTCCAGAGACAGAGTAGCGCGCACCATCACTCTCACCCAGCCACACTTGGTGTGTTTGGTCCTTCGGAGGTTCGGTCTTTAGTTCTCCTCCGCACAGCCCACACCTCTTCCAGTAGATCGCAAGCTCTCTGCTCCAGTTCCTGAGGAGTCAATAGAGCCCATTGGTCCTTACGCAGAGCTGGTGGGTTGCCTCATGTACCTGATATCTTGCACTCGTCCAGATCTCGCATACCCTTTCAGCATCCTAGCTCGCTTTGTGGCCACAGGCAGACACAGACCTAAGCATTGGTCTGCAGCTACGAGGGTTCTGCGTTATCTCGCGAGTACATGAGGCATGGGGTTAGTGCTGGGAGGACGCAACCCAGTGGTCTTTACTGGGCACACAGGCGCTTCTTGGGCAGACGACGCTGAGACCCTTAGGTCTTCGCAGGGCTACTACTTCAGCCTTCGCTCAGGTGCTGTCTCGTGGAGAGCTACTCGCTCCTCGTCTGTTGCCCAGTCCAGCTGTAAGGCCGAGATCTACGCCGGTGCCATGGCGGCACAGGAGTTCCGCTGGCTTACCTTTTTGCTCACAGACTTAGGTGAGCGGCCTAGCTCTGCACCACTCCTGTACGCTGAAAGCAGGGCCATGACCCTCCTGTGTCAGGAGCCTCGACTTGAGGGCAGAGCAAAGCACATCCAACTGCGGTACTTCCTCCTGCGCGAGCTGCAGCAGCGTCGCCAGGCTCGCGTAGTACACTTGGTTTCCGGTGCCGACACAGCTGATATCTTTACGAAGGCCCTTGCGCCTAAAGATCCTTAGCGGCACTGTGTACAACTAGGCTTTGTTCCTGTTACCTGTCACCTGCTAGGGCCTTGACTATGTACTGACCTTTATATATACTTTTTATTCTTGACTGTCCTTGTGGCCTCTCCTAGTGGCTGGACTAGTAGTGCCGCCCTGGTCTTGCCCTTGCACTGGTCTGTACTTGTTTGACTGGTCTTTAGACCCTTGACTCAGATGTTGGACTAGTAGTGCCACCCTGAGTTGCCGTTTCTCTCATCAGGAACTGCACCTAAGCAGTCTAGGGGGTGTGTCAAACATATATATATAGTTTATGTTTGTATAGACTGTAAAGGTTCGTATCTTAGAGGGTACAACACTTAGGCTTATACCCTTGTACTCTTTTCTCTCGACATTCAATCCTACGTTAAGATGAGATGCATGTTCTCTCATATCTCAGGCCCTCGGAAGCGGGAAGTCGGTTCACGGAGCAGCCCTGTCACACTCCAGAGGCTTTGATCAGTGGTTTGACGAGACCCTCGGATCATTTCCCGCTCAATCACTAATCCTGAGAATGTCGAAGCTGTGCAAACCGATGTTCACACGTGTGATTTGCGAAACCGGCAAACTGTGCGTGGTATAACCAGACCGCAAAAATGGAAACAGGCATACGGTGATACGAAAATTATTTTGCATGCAATACAGCGTAACGCAATAATACTCGCGCACTGCATTTGAAGGGCGTGCCTTGTAATTTGGTCCGCGGGTTTTAAGAGGATCATAGAAGACTAATTAGGTTAAATGCGTGTGACATCTGTGGTTTTTTGGGTTGCGGAGCAACCTATTGCAATCGATCGGGCTGGTTTTTTTTTGGGTTGCCGAGCAACCTATTGCAATCGATCGGGCTGGTTTTTTTTTTTTTCAAGTTTGTGAAATAAAAATCAAATGTTTGTTGTGATGGAAATAAAACATTTTATGTATAATAAAGTCTCATCATGAAATGCTCCGCAACCCTAAGACGATCTCGTCGCCTCTTGTTTTTTTTTCAATCGCGTTCTTGAATGAACATGACTGTTCCTTTTTACAATACTACTTAAGGCAGGAACTTGAGGTGCATCCTCGGTAGAGAAATATATCAGGGTGCCTGTTAGAGGGGAATTCGTTCTTTAGGTCCCGCCTTTGTGACGTAGTGCTTGCGCACTGCTGATGTCGGGCAGGCTCTAACTGACTCCTCAAACTCCAGCTGACGGCATGGCTGGTGACGATTTTCTGACGACATCCGTAAGATCTGAACGTCGTGAACAATGGACTATGCTACGCATCGCGCTTCGTGGCTTGCTACGGCGCAATTCAAAGGCTCAAATAGCCAGACCAGGAGCAGCTCATTCATCAGCCCCTTCAGTTTCGTAATTCCATTTCCAGAATCTTGTTTCACACAGGCATTCCGCCAGTACATTTTGCAGCAGTATATCTCTCGCGCTGCGCTGATCTGCTGTCCACTGCCTGTTCGCGCGTAAATCCTGTGTGAAACGCTGCTGTTTCCTCGGCCTCCGCTGCCGCAGACGCCCGTTTCGGTGAACGCCCGCTGTTCTACGCAATGACGACGGCAGGAGGAACTGGCTCAGTTCGAATTGGGACTTCAGAAGCGCCGCGAGTGCCGGAGATCATGTCCGCGTGGCAGTACTCCAAGCACGGCGGCGGGGCCGATGCTCTCTCGGTGCGTATCATCGATTCATCGCCACCAGTGGGGAAAAACCACCCGAGGCTGTTGTTGGTACTGGTTAAATGCTTCTATCCATCGTTATTACTGTCTGCGTCGCTAATGTATCTGCGTCGTTACAATTGCATCTGCGTCGTCAGGAGTTCATCTGCGGCATCGCCATGCGCATTGATTCGACCTCTATCATCGCTTTCCCCCATCCCGCGCCCCCTCGCCTCACCAGTTCAATGACAGCGTCCACGTGCCCAAGCCGGCCAAGGGCGAGGTGCTGGCTCGATTATGTCTGTTCCTCCCATCCCGCACCCCCTCACTCCAACAGTTAAACAGCAACGTCCCCGTGCCCAAGCTGGCCAAGGGCGAGGTGCTGGTGCGAGTGCGCGCGGCGAGCATCAACCCGGGCGACTGGAAGGTGCAATCCGGACTCCTCCCCTTCCTGCCGCTGCGCTTCCCCGCCACCGCTGGTGAGTCCAGAAATGAAGGTGTGGTTCAAAGGACGGCGTTTGAATGCTTAGTGCCAGCATCATTCCAGGCTAAGGTGCAATCCGGACGCATCCCGTTCCTGCCGCTGAGTTTCCCGCTCCCACTCTGCATTGTTCACGCGCTTGGTCGCTCGCTTACTTTCTGGGTTTCGTGCTAAGCCGCCTTTTCCCTGGACCGCCTTCTTCTCTGCAGGCTATGACCTTGCAGGCAAGGTGGTGGGAGCCGGGCCTGGCGTCACCAAGTACACTGTGGGGGACGCTGTCTTTGGAAGGGCGCCTTTCTTTGTAGGTTTTTTAATAGGAAGATCCCAGCTTTGCCCGTTTTCTCCAAAGTGCATCCTCTGCGCGGCATCTCTCTTCACCACTCTACATCCCATTCGTCCCTAGCATGCGACTGCTCGCATTTCCCAACTGGCCTCAGTTTCGTCTGTATTCACTCGGAGAATTTGTCCAAACTCTCTTGTTTCTTTCATTACCATATCTGGGTGCCCTGCTGCCACCCATTATGACTCATCTCACCCCATACACCCACTATGCATTACCCCATCCTCCCTGCTCCCACTATATTTCTGTGTCTCAGAAAATGGGTGCCCTGGCGCAATACGCCTTACTAGACCAGGACGGCAGTGCACACAAGCCCCCCTCTCTGTCCTTTGAGACCGCTGCTGCTCTCCCATCCGCCGGCCTCACTGCCCTGCAGGCCGTGAGGGACTATGCTGGCCTGCCTCTCCCTGTAGCGCCGCATAGTCGGGAAGGAAGCGGTGACAGCACCACCACGATAAAGAGCAGCAGCAGCAGGTGCAGCACACGGGTGTTGGTGGCGAATGCATCAGGGGGAGTGGGGCACCTGGCAGTGCAGCTGGCCAAGGCAGCAGGAGCACACGTCACAGCCACCGTAGGCGCTCGCAACCTCGCCTTTGCACGGAACCTGGGAGCAGACGAGGTGCTGGACTACAACTCCGCTGAGGGAAAACAGCTCTTCCCTTCCCCATCCCCATCACCTGTCACCAGCCTTTCTGCTCCTACCGCTGTGCAGAATGCTTCAGCCGTGCCCCCCCCTATTAATGGGCTCTATGATGCAGTGATAGGTTGCGCTTTCAACAGCCCAGCGGTTTCTGCTGTGGATAGGGTCCTCCGTCCGGAAGGGAAGTGGGTGCATGTTTCACCCGCGCTCTCAGAGTTTGCACTGGGGCTTTGGCGTCGTTTTGCCCTTCGCCCCAAGAAGATTTTCTGTGTCATGGTGGAGAATAGGGGGGCTGATTTGGAGGTGTTGGGACGGATGGTGGGGGAGGGGAAAGTGAAGGTGGTGGTGGAGAGTAGTGTGCCGTTTGAAGAGGCTAGAGAGGCGTGGAGGAAGAGCATGGAAGGGCATGTGACAGGGAAGTTAGTGGTTAGGATGGAGTGAAGGCCAAATTGGTTGTATAATGTATTGTTGTATAAATGTTTCTCTCTGTACTCTAATATGACTACCAAATATCACATGTGGACTTGTTTCTCATATAGTCACACACTCATTTCACCTGCTCGCGTTCTGGTGTATTTTGGAGTTTGATTTTGTGGATGATTGGCCGTTCGGTTTCACGCCAAATCCCAGATGCGGCTCAAATCAAGTTTCTCCAACATTGCGACCTGGGTCGATCTGATCCCAAGGTGTCACATATCTCCTGGCTTTCAGTTCAGGTCGTCCTCCGGGGTTTGGATTTCAACGGGCACACGTGCACCCACCACCGCTTTAAAGCCCCCGTCTCATAATTACTAGAGTTTTACACCTGGTTGGAGCAGGCAAACTCTGATTGGTACGCGAGGTAAAAAAAATTAAGACGAAAACGAAACGCAAGTGGCGAGACCATGTTGTTTCGGCAAAACACCCGAACCAAAAACAGGTCTGGGGAAGGGTGGCTCGCGATAGGTTTTGCACATCAGTCTGGAGGTTCGTTTTACATCGGACGGTGCAGAATCCAATTTTCCTGCACAGCCAAATTCCACTTCGTTTACAGCGGTGAATTTAGTAATACACTCGCTGAACCGTCGGATCCGAACTTCTAGACGATCGAGCGGTCCAACGTCCCCATTCTTCCGTGAAACTTGCTCATTCTCATATTTCACTGCTGGTTTTACAATTGGTCTCGCCCCCCAACAAGAAACACTCTCTCCGAGGCATTTCCTTGCCTGTCTCTTCACATTCGCCAGCGTAACTGGGTACCGAGCATTTTACACTTGGTCGGATCCTAGAATTGTGAAACGGGGGCTTTACCGTTTTTCGCCTTCCCATCAGAAAAGACTGCAAAACCGCTCCACGTCTCAAATCTCCCACCCGTATCTCACGTTCTGCCGTATGACTCTTGGCCGCCGCGGCTACTAGTCGTCCGTTCCGATCATGGCGAAGATGGACGAGCTAGTGATAGCGGGAATGAATCTCACGTGCGTCCTGGCAGCCGTGGCGGAGTATCAGATGCCCGAGAAGGAATGCCTGCTCAATCTCCTGGCCAAGGCGCTGGGTTTGGGAATCATCCTGGGATCGACGATACTAAAGCTCCCACAGGTGAAATGAGATCCTTGGGATCGTTTCGCGAACGGTGCTGGGGCACGGCGACGTCGGCGACGTCATCGCTGAAAAGCGAATTCGCGAATTTGTGAATTTGACGTCGCAAAGGTGCTGGGTTAAGGCGACTGCGGTAGTGACAGACCCACGACTTTCAGAATTTCCGCCGGTAGTGTTAGGATGTGAATGTGAAACATCTAGCACCGCAAGCTTCTTGGCGTGACGGGAATTGACAGGAGAATTTATGACGGGATCACCATAGATAGTTGGCAGTACGCCCAGAATCAGTTTAGATGTTTCAGATTCACATACAACGCGTTCTAATACAGCCTAAGCGACAATACGAATAGTGCCGGAATAGGTAAGGGGGAGAGTTAGAATGGTTAGCCATAACACCCGAGTCATCATAGATGCTTGACAAGTTTGACCACCCCTCGGCACAGAAAATCGGCAAGTCCATAATTCGCATGCATATTACCAGAAGTCCTTGACTCAAGTAGTACAGATGACACTCGAAAACGGTGTCTCATTAGTATCATCGTCGGACCAGGTCACTCGAAAACGATTACAGATTTGAAAGGCACACCACCTCCAAGGGTCGCCACGGCCAAGAAATTTCTATCCTTGTGGATATTGACACAACCATTTTAAAGGGATTCTTATATGATTTTTTTTTAATGCGTTTCACGCCCTATCTCCTCGCCATTGCTCCTCTACTCCTTGCCATTGCTCCTCCCGTTATTCATCCTCAGTGTCCTCTCTCGCACCATCATCCCCTTCCCACCAACATTTCCGTCCGCAACGCCATTGCCCTCTCACAAATCGCACTGTCATCCTCTTTCTCTATTTTCCGGCTCTCCCCTCTCGCTATGCTCAGATTCTCGTCATCATCCACAGCAACAGCATAGAGGGCCCGAGTGTACCGAAATTTCAATTCAAGTGTATAACTAATTATTTTGTTTCCTTCCGCCCCTTTCCCGCCTCCCTCTCCTCAGATTCTCGTTATCATCCGCAGCAACAGCATCGAGGGCCTGAGTGTAGCGTCGTTTGAAATCGAGTGTATTGGCTACACTGTTTCCGTGGGGTACTGCCTCTTTAAGAACGTCCCCTTTACAGCATATGGCGAGCTGTTCTTCCTTCTCCTGCAGTGTAAGCCGTCAACAGACAGGCGTTGCAGATATGCAGACATGCTATGAGCTGTAAGCCTGTAACTGACACACCACTTATGACTGATACATGGAGCCGGCTGGACCACTGGCTCACTGAAGCTCAGAGAGGCGCTCACTGAGATCCAGAAGCACCCATGCTTGGTCACTCTGTGCTTCTCAAAAGCACAATTCTTAAAGAACTCACTCACTATTAGAGAGTATCTCCTCTGCTGTTCATGCACCAACTTTATACACCCGTTCCTGTCCCGTACCCTTCCGCCCTGTCCAGCGATCGTCCTCATGTTTCTCAACTACTCACATTGCTCCAGCCGGGCCCCTTACTCGAGTCAACAGTCAACATGTTACTCCCTATGCCCTCCTCCCTGTCCCTCCTTCCCCTCCCCTCCCTCCCCCCCCCCCTTTCCGCCCTCTTGCCCAGCGATCGTCCTCATGTTTCTCTTCTACTCGTATCCACCCAACCAGGCACTCGAGTCGAGACAAAAGCCAACATGTCACTACCTCTGTTTCCTCCCTCCCTCATCCCTCCCTCCTCCCGTCGTGTGCAGCGCTCATCCTCATGTTTCTCTTCTACTCGCATCTGCCCAACCAGGCTATTGATTCGAGTCAAGAGTCAATCCATGCCTCTTTGCCCCCCCACTTCTCCTCCCTGCTCCCTTTGCCCCCCCCCTTCCCCTCCCTCCCTCCAGCGCTCATCCTCATGTTCCTCATCTACTCGCATCTGCCCAACCAGGCGTCCACCACATGGATCAAAGTCGGCATGTGAGTGCAGGGGGGCTTGAAGCCGATCAAAGTCAGCCTGTGAGTGGCAGGGATGGTCAGAGTCAAATTGGGCTAGAGTCACATTAGTCGATTTAAGCGTCCACCACAGGGATCACAGTCGGCATGTGAGCCCCTGTGCCTTCCCTATTAGAAAACTGGGTTGTTTTTCTTTCCAAGGCGACACCATATCTCTTCCTTCCACTGACGAAACGCCTCTCTTCTCCTGACATCACCCCTCGTCCTCCCGATCGCTCCCATCCAACCCACTCCCCCCCTCCCATGGCTACTCTGCCATGCTGCAGGCAGTGCTGTACCAGGGACGATACGGAAGACGAGTGCACGCCACACCCTTCTCACCCTCTCCCCCCGTCCTCCCCCTTCCTCGCCCCCACCACACTTCCCTCCGAGCCTTTTCTCACCAGCTACTCTGCCATGCTGCCAGTGCTGTTCTCAGGGAGGATGAGTGCGCAGGTGTACCATGTACGAGACCGTCTACATGAGCTGGCTATTCAAGCGCCACACTCCATCCCCTCCCGTCCTTCCCATCCCCCCTCCCCCACCCCACCTCATGTTCGTCTCTTCCCCCTTCCCTCATTCCCCCCTTTTCACACCAACACACGCTCCTCGTCACCCTCCTGTCCCCACCAGCTACTCCGCCATGCTTCTACCAGTGCTGCCCTCCGGGAGGATGAGCGCACGCGTGCATGAGTCTGCTGTAGTGCATACCCGACACCCATCCCCTCTTCCCATCCTTCCCACCCTCCCCCCGCCCTCTTGTCCCCACCAGCTACTCTGCCATGCTGCCAGTGCTGTTCTCAGGGAGGATGAGCGCAGAGCTGTACGAGACCATATACGTGAGTGGGACCATGTAGGAGATGATATGTGACGATATAGGAGGCCAACTATGTGAGTGGGAGCATGTAGGAGATGATTTGTGACGATATAGGAGGCCAACTCTGTGAGTGGGACCATGTAGGAGATGATATGTGACGATATAGGAGGCCATCTATGTGAGTGGGACCATGTTGGAGATGGTATATGACGCGATATAGGAGGCCATTTATGTGAGTGGGACCATGCAGGAGATCACGTATAAGTGTTATGTTCATTCCTACATATGCGCCATTATCTATTTTGATGGCACATATCCAGTATTCCATGCACCATTCGCGTTTTGATAGCCGTCCGTGCTGTAATCTAAGAGCTGGTATGGGACCAACAACCCTTGTGTCCAATGCAGCAGTTGACTCGACTCATGGTCCCATCCCATCCACTTCAACCCCCTTAATTGCGTGCAGAATGCCCAGACGGCTCTCTTCACTATTGGGCGCATCCCTCAGATGTGGAGTAACTATGTGGTGAGTAGAACGGCTGTTTTGTAGATGTATATACCATGTGCTGAGTAGAACGTCTGCCTTATATGCGTGTTTACCACGTGGTAACTATGTGATGAATAGAATGGCTGTTCTATAGATATATGTGTAACATGTGGTGAGTAGACCTGATGCTCTGACTGCCATATCCTCGGCACATGCAATGCCTAATTCAATCGTTAGGTGCTGCATGTGGGCATCATGCCCTGTTTGCTTGTTGCATCTCATACTCTACCTGCCATGTCCTGTCATGTCATCGCTCCATGTCTTTGCCTTGTCATCTCAGGTGCTGCTTGTTAGCATCTTCTCCTGGTTGCTTGTTGCATTGCATCTCATGTGATGTGATGCCATGTCTGTTTCATCTCGCGCCATGTCCTTCTGTGCGCGGTTGCATCATGGCACATGAGCAGAACCAGAGCACGGGGCAGCTGAGTGTTTTCACCACTTTCCTCACTTTCGCCGGGTGCATTGGTAAGCAGGCCATGTGGTGTGGCGTCATGGCATGTGGCATGGCGTCACAACATGTGATGTGATATCATGCCGTACAAGCAATCCAGGAGCACAGGGCAGCTGAGCTAGCTGTATGCACCATTTTCCTCACTTTCACTGGCTGCATTGGTAAGCGGGCTCTCCTTCCACTCACCATTAGTGAACCGGCCATCCCATCCAGTAACTGATGACTTAAGGAAAGTGACAGTGCTGCTATGCATTGGTAAGCTATGCCGACCTTTTTTTCTACAACCTATAAGGAAAGTGACAGTGCTGCTTGTTGGTAAGCTTGCTTGCAAGTGTCGCACAGCCCCTCACACCGCCCCTTGCCTTCACCACCCCTTGCCTCCTCTTTTCCATCTGACGTTCTTTTGTCCCCCCCATGCCACAGCCCGTCTGTTCACCTCCATCCAAGAAAAGGCCCCTCTCAGCAGTAAGGCACCCCGTCACACTCTTCTCTCACTCCCTTACTTCGTTGCTTCTCATTGTCCCTCTTGTGCTGGTCATGACCTTTGTTCTTTGTCAAATGTCCCCCCTCCCCTCCAATCCTTCCAAAGCTCGACCTAATGATTTCACGCATTTTGCCTGCATGGTTCCTCATCTCTTCTCGATGTATACTCTTCTTTTGTAACGCTCTTTGCAGTGGCCATTGGAAGCATTTTGGGTGTACTATCACACGGCACGATCTTTGCACAGATTGTATACTATACATACATTCGGAAAGGAAAAGTTCCTGCGGTTGCTGTGAGCAAGGGGAGCACCCATAAGGAGGAGAAAGCCAAGGGCAAGGAGAGCAAGGCTAAGGGTGGCAAAGGCAAGAGCTCATAAATCCAAAACGGCTTATTTTAATTATTTCAAGAATCTTGAACGGACTCGAGCACGTTGTTACACGGTCACCCATTTTTACATGAGCGGAGTTAGACTACTGAGCCATCATATCACGCACTTTACACCTAGAGTCTATTGCTGTTACGAGGAAACCTCGAATCTAATTCAAGCGCGTCTGCGTGTACCGAACATTCGTCAGAATCAAGACAGCTTTGTTTCGCGCCAAAACTCAGCCTTGGAAAATTATCTAGGGCTACAGTAGCACGCCAGTAGCATCAATTTCCGAATTTCGAGACAGCAGGAGAACAGACAGAGCACTATTTCAAGCAGACGACACCAGAGGATCCCAGGCGAAGCTGTGGCAGTGCTGCAAGTGGCATCTGAGTTGGTGCTAGGAAACTTGGACTCGTAATTCGGTTCTGAAGATCCCTGTTATGTTGGTCTGACGATCCTTGGCGCTGTCTAGGTAGTAACGGACCTTCAGTAGAGGTTGATCCACGGCCACCTGCCATCCGACTGTGCTCGCAGGGTTCGTCCGGCGAAACCGACAGGCTTTCCGGGACAATAAAAGGCCGGAAAAGGCCGTCGAGTGACACTAGTTACAATCGCGGGTGCGGGTCGTCCGGTAGCGTAGTCCATGCTAGCCTGCTGATAGGAGCGGGAGCTGCAGGGCGTTACGTGTTACGTGTTACATCTCATTCCTTCCCTAGCCTTTCAACCGCAAGCCACGTAGTTACGTGTTCTCTGTTTTCCGTGGCAACCCGCTCTCAGTACCCAGTCGTCGCCGCAGCAGCAACCCACGCTCAGCCAAGCGCGCCGCAAAGCGAAGCCAATTGCAATAGCGAATCAGACAATAGCGAAGAAGTTGCTGCTTAGGAGGAAGCCTAGTAGCATCGTTGCAGTATACATTCCAACCCTAACTCACGATTTTCAAAAGTGATTACATGTGTCGATCCATGTGACCCCAGCGTCAGGGTTCCGACCGTAGATTACCTACGGCTGACCCGCCGTTCATCTGACCCGCCGTTCATCGGATGAGCCCTCCGTCAGAGTCGAAGTCATGCGTCCGCACCGCCAGCCACCAGAGGGCTCCATCACGCGTGTAGTTCTGAGCATACACGATGGGCGAGTGGCGGCAAAGACAGTACCTTATAACGAGGTACGCAATTATGGGGGTCATGTAGCCACCAGAGGGATCTACCACGTGTGTGACTCTAAGCGTACACGACGGCCGAGTGGCGGCTTAGACGATCCCTTATAACGAGGTACAGGCAGTAACGAGGTCCTTTCTTCTCCTCTGCATGCGGACCGCGCATCCATACCCCGAGCATTCCGTGTTCGCAGGCGTCTGGACTGGACTGATGCTCAACGGCCCGAGATTTCAGTGTTCGTCTTGAAGTTGTCTCATATTCTCAAATTTGCACTTACACCCTCCCTTGCAATTGGAATAACCTTTTCCCCCACTCAACACCAGATAGTGAAGGACATGTGTCGATCGCTGCCTCATCGGCAGTGCCACTTACTTTCGCCTTCTCCCCCTCCCCCTGGAACCCACCCCCCAACACCAGCAAGTGAGGCAGCTGTGTTGGTCGCGGCCTAAATATTTCGTGCTTATATCAACAAAAAGTCGCTTACTCACGCCTCTCTACCTTCCTTGCAACGTGATTATATCTCCCTCCCACTGCACACAGCAAGTGAAGCAGCTGTGCCGGCCGCTGCCTGATCGCCACTGCCACTTATTTTCGCCTTCTTCCCCCGTCCCCCTCCCTACCAACCCCCCTCCCCCCGCCCCTCTCCCCACCCCCGACCCAACACCAGCAAGTGAAGCAGCTGTGTCGGTCGCTGCCTGATCGGCGGTGGGATCAGAGCAACAAAGTATGGACCTTCCCCATCGCCATGGCTGCTGATGTGGAACGAGCCCTGCGCACCCTTCCCCGAGTGCATGTGAGCGCTGCTATCCTGAACATGCATGCACGCGCATCCTCCGCTAGCATCTCCCACGTGCGTCGAGCGCTGCAACGCAGGTAGTTCCATGGCATGCCATGTGGTTGGTGCTGTAGACTAATCCGTCCGTCGCCACACATCAAGGGACCATTCCAGTGCATGCTGTCACACACGGCCAGCCGTACCCCATGTCGTGACGTTGACCACTCCATGCTTTTGCGTCCGAGTCTAATGCATACCCCGTGTTGTGTTGTGACATCGGCTGTTCTATGCAGGTCCGTTGCCTGTCCCCGTTACATGATATCTTCATCCCGTGCCGTTTCCTCTGTCATGCCATCATCCCATCCCTCTCCTCACTCTCTTCGTTGCTCCTTGCTCTTTCCATCTATCTCCCCAGGTCGAGCCGCTGCCGCTATTGCCTGCACCGCCACATGAAGCGTTGCCACATGCCGGGCCAGCTGGCATGCCACGTATGCCAGCTGGCATGCCGCATATGCAGCACGCCATGCTGCAACCCTGCAGCCACCGCAGCATGCTACAGCCATCCGCCCAGCAGCTCGCTGGCACAGACACCACTGAGAGGGCTCTTATGGAGTCTGCTGCAGGCCCTGGGCACGTGCAGGTGCTTATAACGAGGGCCACGGATGGACTGCTGGGTGTGCAGCTGAAGCCTTATAATGAGGTGCGTGAAGCTGGTGGTGCATTATAGCGAGGTGAGTGGCGAGTGTACAACCGTTGCCTGATATTGAGTTGCATGCTCCAGCATGGTAATGGGGCGAGCTCTCGAGCGCGAGTGGTCAAGTGTTGGTGTTAAAGTGTGGTTCACTGTGTTAGCAGTATTTACTCGGACGGTTGGTGTGTAACAAGGTGGAGGCTTAAATGTTGCCTTATACGGGTTGCGCATTCGCTTGCCGTATTGCAAGGGAGTAGGCCTATGGCTTCAGGTCAGGTTGTGTCATTGTGCATGGATACATGGATACGTGGATATGTGGATACGTGGATACTTGGATACGTGGATACGTGGATACGTGGATACTTGGATACTTGGATACTTGGATACTTGGATACATGTCAAGTTGTGACTGTGGGGGACACGGATGGACTGGATGGCATGGGCACACTCAACTTGGGGCTGTAACGTTTCGTTGGGGATGGCTGTCAGTTGTGTATTCTGTGGCTTAAGGAGGGTTCCTCCAACTTGCAAGGTATCAACTTTTAGGGATGCGACAACAGCGGCTGAAAGAAGGCTGCGGTGCGGTTATGGCTATGCTGCTACGGCCCTGGGTAACGGGACAGAACCAGCTGCTCTTCTGATCTGGTTCGACGGCCGTGCCATCCCATCTCTTCCTGCCATTTCCTCAGAATTTGCTTTGAATAAAGTAAAGAACGACTTCCACTGGATCCGCCATGCCATCTCGCCTCTTCCTGTCGTCCCTCCTCCTCCCCCCCCCCCCCCCACCCCCTTCCCCTCCATTCCCCTGCATCTGCACTGCTCTCAGGTTCGCCAGGAGGTCCTGCGTTTGCCCTCCTCTGCTCCTCTCACACCCCTCCTCTGCTCCTCTCACACCCCTCCTCTGCCGCTCAAGGGTTCCGTGTTAGTGGTGTAACCTGAGCAGAGGACGGCGCACCTCGTCCTTCCCCCATCCGTGTTCTCTGCGCAGCTGGTGAAGGACGTCTGCAAGTCTCTTCCTAACCGCTTCTGGGACAATGGAAACAAGTGGGTGGGGCAGAGACAGGGAGTGGGTGCGTAGGTGGGTGGGGTAGGGACAGGGAGTGGGTCCGTAGGTGGGTGGTTCGGATACAGACAGGGAGGCGTAGGTGGGTGGGATAGAGGGAGGGAGGGAGGGAATGGATGGTTGAGAGTATATGCATTTCTTTGGCACACGCTTACACACGAACGAACTTGTGCGTGCATACTAGTCTCTGTGTGTATGCTTGCATGTGTGTGTGCATGGCCACGCATACATGTGTTGTGTTGTGTTGTGTTGTGTTGTGTTGTGTTGTGTTGTGTTGTGTTGTGTTGTGTTGTGTTGTGTTGTGTTGTGCTGTGCTGTGCTGTGCGAGCGGCGGCGCTGCCTTGACCTGAGGAGTGCTGGCATGCGTGATGGCGTCTCTCCCGTCCTTCATGCGGTTTGAAACTGTGTATTGGATGTCCCGTAAGTTGATACAAAGATTGCACATTCACGTTTGCTCCTTGTTCCTTTTCTGAATGTTTCTAAATGGCGGATGGGGTGTTTTGAAGAGCCTCCATTCGATGAAGGGGCATCAATTTTTGTGGTTCATTGTTGTCCTTCCATTCCGCGTGCACGCAGTGGCAGTACCCACTTACAATGGCCAATGACGTGGCGGGTGGGAGAGCATGGCTCTAGACTACCACCAGCGGATCATTGTTTCGTGCATGACTCCATCGCGCGCACCCCTTGATGCAGGCAGTGCAAGTACCCATTCCACATGACCGATGGGGTGGTTGAAACGTTCTTCTTTTCACTGGAAGAAACATCTCTCTTTGGGGTTGTGTTTTGTCCATTCATTCATTCATCCATCCATCCATCCATCCATCCATCCATCCATCCATCCATCCATCCATCCATCCATCCATCCATCCATCCATCCATCCATCCATCCATCCATCCATCCATCCATCCATCCATCCATCCATCCATCCATCCATCCATCCATCCATCCATCCATCCATCCATCCATCCATCCATCCATCCATCCATCCATCCATCCATCCATCCATCCATCCATCCATCCATCCATCCATCCATCCATCCATCCATCCATCCATCCATCCATACATACATACATACATACATACCGTGCAGGCAGTGGAAGTACCCATTCCAGATGGCCGATGAGGTGGTTGCAGCGCTCGCATGCGTAACTGATGTAGCTGTACAGGTGCGGTAACTGCATGCTGTCTGGTCTGAAGCACTTTCAGTGTTACGCAGTGTACTTGAAACACAGTGCGGAATTGTAGATGGTGGGTTCTGTCTGGCAACGTTTGCTGAGATGCGTCTGCATGTGCCCATGGGTTTATGTGATAATATGAAATGTGCCAGCCCCCTCCCACTGTCATCCTGCAGGGTGTTGGTTTTGGTGCTGGCACTACCGTCATCACTGCAATTTGCGTCTTCTTCTTTTGCGCGTCCCTTATGTGTGTGCAGATAGTTGCAGATCCTCCTTCGTTACTATCACACTCTGATTGGGGAGCCGACGAGGAGGAACCTGCAAGGAAGCGGCTGCGAGGCGATGGCAGCATAACCAATGGCAGCACGAATACTGGCGAAACGGTTAACGGAAGTTCTGCCCATGCGGGCACTATTGATGCCGTGCCATTCCAATCCTCAGCTGGGCCTGGTGGTGTCAATTTGTGCAGCTCCGTTGCAGGCTGGCATGGGTTTGCGGCTGAATTGACTGCTCCCAGGATAGCGGGTGTGTCTGATACTCATACTGTTACTGTTGCAGCAGTGCAGCTGAGCGCAGGTGCGTCTGCAGCTGCTGGGGTTGGTGCATTTGGTTGGGTTGGTGGGGCTGGTGCAGCGGAGGTTAGTGCTAGTGGTGCGTCTGCAGCAGCTGGTACAGGGGAGATGCTCGCTGGCAGCAGCATTGGCTCTGGCACGAGTATTGGGACTGGCAGCAGCAGCAGCAGCAGCGGTTCTGGTTCCATTTTGAGAGTTGCTCCACCTATGGTGCCATCTCCCGTGCCCCCATTGGTGCCATCTTCCCCCGTTCAGCCATGTGGGCCTCATCATGCAGACTACCAGCAGCAGCAATGGCCACTGCCACTGGCGCCACGGCAGCAGCAGCAGCAGCACCAGCCGCAGGAGCCACAGCAGCCACAGCAACAACAACCGCAACTGCAACAGCAGCACCTACAGCACCAGCAGCTACAGCAAGTCCAACAACCGCAACCACAACAGCCACAGCAGGCGCAGCAGCAGCAACAACAACAGCAGCAGCATTGGCCACAGCAGCAACCACAACACCAGCAGCAGCAACAGCAGCTGCTGCCACTGGCGCCATGGCAGCAGCAGCAGCAGCAGCAGGTGGTGGGTCAGAGGCAGTGTCGAAGGATCCGCCTGCTGCCATCGTCCAATGGCCGTGTGGCTGCATCCTTTGTCTTCCACCAGGTGCTACTGTCTTGATGTAGCGACGTTTCGAAGCCGGTGCTGCCTTTGTTAGCCACTGGTGCTGCCTTTGTTAGCCACTGGTGCTGCCTTAGTTAGCCACTGGTGCTGCCTGAAGCCACAGCTACTGTTTTGAAGCAGGTGCTTTTGACTTGGGCCAAGACTGCTGGATTGAATCACGTGCTTCTCAGTTGCATCCGCTGCTGCGATGATCTTCAGTTGTCCTCCACCCTCCCCTTGCCGCCACCACTCCCCCCTCCTCGCTCTCCCCCCACCATGCTCTCCCCGTTTTCTCTCACACTCTTTGCTAATCCGGTTCTTACAGGATCTCCTGGCCCCGATGAAGAGCGTCCCCTGTTCAATCTGGCAGCAGGAGAAGAGGTGACATGTGCTGGGGCAAGGGGTGAGGGGTGAGAGGCAAGGGGTGAGGGGCAGGGAGGCAAGGGGTGAGGGGAGAGAAGCAAGGGGTGAGGGGCAGGGAGGCAAGGGGTGAGGGGTGAGAGGCAAGCGGTGAGCGGTGAGCGGCGGCACTCCTTACCCGTTTTTTTCCAAACGGACGGATGATCTTGGACTGCTTCTTTGGGAAACGAGGCCAGATGGTCTGTCTTTGGGAGTTGAGCGTTTGGAAGTAGGAGATGGCCTCGTGCTGACTCCCTACTGCCTACCCTCCCTTCCTCTCTTCCCCCCACTCCTCCCACAGGCGCTGTTCGTTTTTTCTCCTGAGAAACTTGAATACATTATGTCTGCTGTCTCCCTAACGCCTCAATCTGCTCAGAGCTGTGGGTGTTCCCCACTTGAGGTGTCTGAATTCTCGACTTCTGCTCTCTCCCTTCCTCGCCCTCCGAACCACTCTGCTCACAGGCTATGGGTCTTCCCTCTCTCCTCTCTGGATGCTTTTTTCCAGGCCGTGCAATCCGTGCCAACATGTGACGTGGAGGTGGGTGGGGCGTGGAGGGGAGTGTAACGTGAAGGGGAGAGGGCGTGGAGTAGGCATGAGCAGAAGGCCCGGATGGGCGGCCCGGAAAAACCCGAGCACGGGCCACCCATCCCTGAAAGTCGGACCAACCTTAACAGCCCAACCCTGGCCTGGCCCACCCCCCACCCGGTTTTTGTCCTCGGCCCGGCCCACCCACTGGCCAAGGCCGGCCCAACTCCGAAACCCCAGCACAGGCGGGGAGTTCCCAAGGTCGGCCCAACCTTGGCCTGGCGCGGCCCGGCCCGACCATAAGTTGGGCCGACCAGGATTGGGCCGGGCCTATGCTCATGCCTGCGGTGGAGGGGAGTGTGGCATGGAGTGGAGGGGAGTGTGTTGTGTGTTGTGGGATGGTGGGGCGTGCATGCAGGTGCATATGAGATTGGATGAGGCAAGGAATGTGTCGAGCTTGATGTTGCATCTCTCTCATTTGAGTCGGCTCAAAATTCATCTCGCTGCATCTCCCCGTCCCTCCCTTGCTCCCTCCCACCCCACTGCCTCCTTGCCCTTGCAGGTTGAGCCCTTGCCACCTGTTTTGCAGCGAGCTCTAGAGACTATGAGATTTATGAAGACACAGAACTTGTTGAAACTCGTTGTTGCTTCTCTCTCTCTCCTCCCTGCGCCCTCCCACTGCCACAGGTCGAGCCCTTGCCACCCGTGGTGCAGCGAGCGCTTGAGGAGACGGCCAAGCTGCCAGACGATTCAGGCAAGTCACAGCGCGCCACTGCAGCTGACAGTCCAGAGTGAAAATGAGAGCAGCACGGTGGGCATAACACGTTGCGATTGGGCTCCGGAGAAATCTTATGGAGGAGCGTGTGAGGAATGGAGATGCATCACCATGGCCTTCTGCGTTCCGTCTCTCTCTCCCCAGCTATTCCTGGTGCGTGTGGCTATAGAGTCCCTGGGTGCGGTGGTGGGGGAGGGGGTGGTGGGGAGGGGCAGCAGCAACCGAAGTGGCGGCAGCAGCAGCAGCAGCAGCAGCAGCTTGTCGTCCTCCCACCCTAGGGCTCCCATCCTCCCATTTCTTGTCTCATGCGCGGATCGGTTGTTTGACAGACCAAAAATTCCTTTCCCCGATTGAACACCACTTAGGTGCCATAGGTCTTTACGTGGCAGCAACTTTTAGAAACGCTTAAGTACAACGAACGTAGAGCTTGCTTTAAAAAACCTTTGTGAAGATTTTGATGGTAACCGGTTTCGGCTCGAGAGCCTTCTTTAGACCACAAAGAAATAAGCAAACTAGCTAGCCTATAAATACCACCTCGAGGACTCCTCGCGAGGCATTCCTCTGCGGGGTCTCGACGATGGCAAGGGCAAGAGAGATAAAACAAACAGTACAAATATACTGTAGTCTAACACTTATGAGCAGAAATAAGAAAATTTCCAGCTCTCTTCGGCAGCCTCCAAGCGAGAATGGTTCTTCTTGAAGCGAAAGTTCCGTGTCATATTGTAACGAGATGACTCAAAATGTTCCCCAAGCGCGAACGGTCAACCAGAGGGTTGAGAAGAAGTTTCAGCACCAGGGGGCCACGGTTCGCAGAAGATTGAAATGAAGAGGCGCGTCGAAGAAGTTCCCCACGGTTAGCAAAAGAAACCGACTTAAACACCGGCAGTAGAAACTTTTCCGGGTACCCACGTGCTCTCTAAGACGAGCAAAGAAAAGTGCGCGGGAATTGAAGAAGTCAGCTCGTGAAGAGGAGCGCAAAAGAAACCTTTGTAGCTCACTCCGGATAAAACCCAGCTTCGTAGACCGAGTATGATAGGACTTAAACGGAAGGTAAAGGTACTGATTCATCGGCTTCTGAAACAGCTTCATGTCCAAAATGCCAGAATCTTTAAACCTTTTTCCTTTAAACACCGTAAGATCCAGAAAATCCATAGAAGTTTCTGAAATCACCCAGGTCAGCCGGATTGAAGGATGAAGGGTGTCGAAACGTTGCTTCGTTCAGTTGAATTCCTCCCTCGCTCCTTCCCACAAAATCAAACCGTCACCAAAAATTCCTTTCCCCAACAAGTGCGAGTGTCCCCTCTATTCTGTTCTCTGGTTCCCATCCTCCCCTTGCTCCTCTCGCCTTCAGGCCGCTTCTTTGACTTGCCGGATGACTTTCGGAAGCTTCTCATGCCTTTCCAGGAGCAAGGCATGCAGTGAGTGTGCTTCTTGTACCTCTTCAATTCTTTCATATTTCACCGCAGCGTCACGTGCCGTCATTCCCTATTTTCTGTATTGCTTTGAGGTGCCTCTAAAGCCTCAGTACAGCAGCAAGGCATGCAGTGAAAGTGCCTCATTCAGCCATTCAGGTTCTAGCTGAGCCTCAGCCCTCGTGAGCATCACATGCATGCCACACAGCCTACCTTTCCATGATCTGTGCTCTCTCTCTCTCCCCATTGCCATTTCCAACATTGTATTCAAAAAGACCTCACCTCTCCCCGTCCTCTCCTCTCCGCCCTTTCTTTGCCCAGGTTCGCTCTGTCGCGTGGCGGTCGAGTGTTGATAGCAGACGAGATGGGGCTGGGGAAGACAGTGCAGGCCATAGGGCTGGCAGCGTGCTACCATGACGAGTGGCCTGTGCTTGTGGTCACCCCCTCCTCTCTGCGGCTGCACTGGGCCATGGTGAGTCGTGGGGACTGGGCAGCGCACAGCGTCACTGGAATCCACCCGAGAGTAAGATCAAAGGATGGCTCTGCTGCAGGCTATAGATCTCGCAGCGTGCTGTCTCGATGAGTGGCCTGTGCTCGTCATCCTTCCCTCCTCACTGCGGCTGCACTGGGCTGGGCTATGGTGAGGCAGGTCCAGCTCTGTGAGTCACTGGCTTGTACACACTTGAGCAAGGTTGGGCAAGACAGTGCAGGCAATAGGGCTGGCAGCATGCTACCATTACAACTGGCCTGTGCTCCTCATCCCTCCCTTCTCACTGCAGCTGCACTGGGCTATGGTGAGGCATGTGCCACACCCACACAAAGCCACTGGAATGTACACTAGAGCAAGGTGGGGCAAGATAGTGCAGGCCGTAAGAGTGGGTAGCACCGTAGCAGCATGCTGTTCACACTGGTGAGTTCTTCCCGCCACAGGGTGTTACGAATTTGTGACCACCACCCATCTGTAGCATTCTTTCCTCTCTCACCCCCCCCCCTCCCCCGCCCCCTTTGTCCAAAATCTCTCACTTGCTCCTATCCATGGCAGAGCATTGTCAGGTGGCTCAACTTCTCCCCTGAAGACATCACAGTGAGTCCTGCCATGCCATGCCATCCATGCCATCCATGCCATCCATGCCATCCATGCCATCCATGCCATCCATGCCACTCCATGCCATCCATGCCACTCCATGCCATCCATGCCACTTCATTCCATCCATTCCCGAGCAGAGCATTGCCAGTCAGATGCCATCCATGCCATCCCATCCGTCCATTCACTCTGCTCCATGGCCGCCCTGTGTTTCTGTCGCCCTTCAGGTGGTCATGCCTCAGGGCGGTGCGGCTCGCAGCCTCAACGGCTTCAACTTCGTCCGATGCGCGCGCAACCAGCCGCTCTCGCTGCAGTCGCCCTTCAACATCGTGTCGTATGACCTGCTGGACCGGCTGGAGCAAGAGCCAGAGAGGCCGTTCAAGGTGAGTGGGGGATGCAATCGTATAAGGTGAGTGGGGGATGCAATCATGCAATCGTATAAGGTGAGTGGGGGATGCAATCATGCAATCGTATAAGGTGAGTGGGGGATGCAATCATGCAATCGTATAAGGTGAGTGGGGGATGCAATCATGCAATCGTATAAGGTGAGTGGGGGATGCAATCGTATAAGGTGAGCTGGAGCAGTCATTAGCCCTTCAACGACATAGGTTCGTACAACCTGCTGGATCGACTGGAGCAGGAACCAGGGCGGCCATACAAGGTGAGCTTTAGCATGAGGCAGAACAGCAATCACCCGACACCTTTCAACCTAGTGGCGTACTGTTTGGACCTGCTGGACCCGAATAGAGCAAGAGGCAGCCCAGCCCTTCAAGGTGGTGCACATGTAGGTTTGAGGGCTGGGCTGCCCAGCCCAACCCAGCCCTGCAGGTTGGAGCAGGCAGTCAGTCGCCCTTCAACATTGTGTCGTACGACTTGCTGGATCGACTGGAGCATCAACTGGAACGGCCTTACAAGGTGAGATTTAGCAGGGGGGAGCACATCGATTACCCTTCAGCTATCAACAAAGTGCCATGTGACCTGCTGGGCCGACTGGAGCAGCAGCAGCCACGCACACAAGCTTTGTCATGCTTTATGCATCCATGCATCCATGCATCCGTCGTCCCCTATGCATGCACCAGGTGGTGATCGCAGACGAGTCCCATTACCTCAAGATCTACATGGCCAAGCGCCCAGGCCTCACTATGCCCTTGTATTCATCACATTACATACATGCCGTGTGTATGCATCATGCATCATGCATCATGTGTCGTCCAGGTGGTGATAGCGGACGAGTCCCATTACCTCAAGAACTACAAGGCCAAGCGGACAGGCCTTGCGGTGCCACGACTGCAGGTGATGCCCTTGCTCTTGCTGTAGCGCTTTGAGATGCCGCAAACCATTATGCTTTTGCTCCTGCTCCATTTAGCGCTTTGAGATGCGGCTTTGAAACGTCGCGAGACATGATGCCGTTGCTCCTATTACATCCGTCTGTAAGTTTGCGTTCTTTGCTCTGCTCCATTTAGTGTGTTTCATTCTGCTACCGCTCGTTTACCCCGTTGGCTGTCGTGGACCCTCTTGACACTCGTTGACCCCATGGACTGTTGCTGAAACTGTTGAAAATCATTGACCCCATTGACCGTCGTTGACTGTGTTGCATATCGTTTATCTGACCCCATTGACTGCCTTTGCTCCTGTTGACAATGCCCCCTTCAGGCTGCCACGCGAGCCATTCTCCTCACTGGCACACCTGCCTTGTCTCGCCCCATCGACCTTTTCAAACAGGCAAGTGATGGTGGCGGTTGCTCCTGTTGTGTGCTTGTGTGTGTGCGCGCATGTGCTTGCACTATGGGTGTTAGCTGGTTCGGAAAATGACTGTGCATGCGCACTGCGTTTGCACCCGTGTGTTTATTCTCTACACTGCCCACGTCTGCAATGTGTCAGGCCATTGACCTCTTCAAACAGGCAAGTGGTGGTTGGCTATGTGTGCGGGTGTGTGTGTGTGTGCACATCTATTTGTCCGCATGCATGGGTGTCGTGCTCCTTGTAGTTCCCTTGCCCCAATTCCCTCTCAATCCTTCAGTATTCTTCGTGGAAGCTAGATGAACAACTCTTTATCTTTTTTTTCCCCTTGCCCGCCCTCCCTGCGCGCCTGCCAGCTGGAGGCCCTTCTGCCGCGTGCCTACCGCAAGCTGGGAGAGTATGGCAAGAGATACTGCCAGGGGGTACGTTGTTACGTTACATGCATGATAGGAGTCTAGTTTTGAGGCGCCTCAAAGCAAGCTGGGAGATTATGGCAAGAGATACTGCCAGGGGGTACGTTGTTACGTTACATCAACTTGAAAGGTTGTATGAACTTGGCGAATGTAGCTATGGACGGAGATATTGCCGGGGGGGTGAGCGGGGGAGTTGCAGTGTATGACAGGGGGGGGAGTTGCCGTTCACTTCTTCCTGATTATTCCCATTTACCCCCATTTATGCCTGTTCGTTTTCCGTGTCTTCTTACCCTCTGGCTTTCTGCCTGCTGTTTCTACCACTCTTACTGTAGCCTCTCCCGCTCCCCCTCCTCTCCTGTTCCCTCCTCTCCCTTTCCCTCCTCTCCCTTTCCCTCCTCTCCCTTTCCCTCCTCTCCCCTTCCCCCTCCTCTCCCTTCTCCCTCCGTTCCCTTTCCCCCCTTCTCTCTCTACCTCCTCCCTCCCTGCCAGGGGAGATTTGGGGAGTTCACGGGGTCCAGCAATCTGGAAGAGTTGCATGCGGTGCTGAGCGGTACCGTCATGATCCGGCGCCTCAAGAAGCAAGTGCTGCCGCAGCTGCCAGCAAAACGGAGACAGCAGGTGGGGCGTTTCTACATGTATGTATGTATGTATATATGTGTGTTTCTACGTGCATGTATGTGTGTTTCTACATGCATGTATGTGTGTTTCTACATGCATCTATGTGTTCTACGTTTATGTATGTATGTATGTGTGAGGTCGAGATGACTTTAGAGTCGACTCAAAAGACAGCAGGTGGGGTGTTTCTATGTGCATGTATGCATGAGGTCGAGTGCATGATCTTGCATGTGGGGTGATATTTGCGGGTATATGTTGTCACTCTGTGCATCTCTCCTCTTCCACCTTATCAGGTGCTCCTCATGCTAGGACAAGGCCATGAAACCCACCCGGGTGCTTTATGCACCTTACTAGTCCCCAGACCTCCTTCCACACCTCCTCCTATTCCTCCCTCCGTCTCTCCTCTCCCGCCAATCAGGTGCTCCTTATGCTGGAGGACAAGGCCATGAAGCCCATCCGAGTGCTGCAAGCGCAGGTGGGCTGATAGGAGGCGCAGAGGCAGAGGCCAGACGGTATGGAAGGAGGGTGGGGGAGCTGCTTCTTGCATGGATCCTGCTGCAGCTAGTCCTCATCTCTCTGCATTTTTCTCCTGGAGTGTTGGTTGGTTCCACTCTATATTATTTATCTGGTGCCGTTTTGCCCCTCATCCCTCCCTTTCCCCTCGCTTGGGCCACTCACTCCCCCCAGGTGAAGTAGGTGCGAGAGAGGAAGGCTGCAGCAATGGATGCAGATGGAGAGAGACTCCCTGTTTCACGCCTATCCTCGCTCTCACTCTTACCCCTTCTCCCCCCTCACCCTTCTTTCTTTTCCCCTGCATTGCTGCACATGTCAGCTGAAGAAGGTGCGAAAGAGGAAGGCCGCTGCAGGGAATGCGGATGGCGAAAGAGCACCCCTAGATAACGGTCACCCCTCACTCACTCACCCTACATTCCAATGCACCACCAGTTGAAGAAGGTGCGAGAGAGGAAGGCTGCCGCGGGGGATGCAGCTGATGGCGAGAGCCCTGTCGTACTGGAAGAAAGAGCACTTGTATCCAAGGTGAGGACGCTTATGGAGGGTATGTTTCCAAAAACTGTGCATAAAGAATGTGACGGCAGGGGATGCAGATGGCAAGAGCGACACACTGCGGCAGTGGAAGAAGGGCTGTTGCATCAAGAGATTCGAGTGCGGCAGATACAAGAGTGACCCGGTTCTGCGCGAGTCACTGTAACGGAGCATCCTCTTTCATCTTGGGGAAGCACAGCTGTGACTTCCTGGGTACATATTGTACCCTTCTTTTGTTGTCTCTTTCTTATACTCCAGTTTCTTGTTTTCCATTCGTTGTCTAGGAGATACCACTTGTTGGCGCCATGACCCATTCCTCTGTTGGCGCAGCTCTGTTGCCTGCCACTGCACCATCCATCCTCCCCGGCAGCTGTAATCAGAGACGGCAGAAGCCAAGGTAGAAGCTGTGAGCGAGGCAGTACCTTGGACCATGCTCCAGTGCCCTTTTCTCCTCCGCCCATTGCCTTTTCAGCATGCATAGACATTTCCCCTTCCATCCCTCACTGCCACTCTCCCCTGCAGCTCTACTCAGAGACAGCAGAAGCCAAGGTGGATGCTGTGAGGGAGTACCTAGGCACGGTGCTGGAGGTGCGGTGGGGGGTGTGATGCATGGGAATGGGCATCACCGTGCATGCACACCACCATGCATGCACACCACCGGGCATGCACACACCGGGCATGCACAGCACCGTGCATGCACACCACCACCACCGTGCATGCACACCACCGTGCATGCACACACCGGGCATGCACAGCACCGTGCATGCACACCACCACCACCATGCATGCACACCACCGTGCATGCACACCACCGTGCATGCACACCACCATGCATGCACACCGCCATGCATGCACACCACCATGCATGCACACCCATGCTGCGAGGGAATACCTGGGCATGATGCTGGAGGTGAGTTGGGGATAGGTGGCATGTGGGTTGGCGGTGACTGGTGTGTGGTAAGTGCATGACTGACCTGCTGCCACACTTACGTTTACAAAAGCATGTATTCACACATGCGCGCTCATGTGTTTGCGGCTTTTGAGTCGAGTAAAAAAGGCCTGGATGCAGTCGTGCGTGCCCATGTGTTTGCGGCACGTGGCCAGTTGTCGCCCACGGTAGAATGGAGGTTGTGTACTTTGAGTCTCTCGAAAGACTCCTTGCTTGGCTCCGCCCGTCTCATGGCCATTGTAGATGCACTCCGCACCCGGTTTGTGTCCTTGTCTTGCACATGCCTCGTTGGTCCTTACAGGCGGGTTGCAAGTTCCTTGTGTTCGCCCATCACATGACCATGATGGATGCTCTCTCCGACTTCTTCCAGGTGCCCTATTCAGAGTCCACTTGTGTGTGTCAATACATTCTATGCTAGTATGGTGCGAGTATGGGATGCAAGTTGCGATGCTAGTACTGCCCCTCCTCAACCCTTTGTTTAGGATGAGATACTTGCATCGCATACCCCCTCTCCGATCACATGACCATGATGGATTCTCCCTCCGAGTTCTTTCATGTGGATCCGCAGCAGTGAAAGGCAGCAGGAATTAGGAAGCCTCTTGTGGAACGCTCGTCCCGCACCTACTCACAGCCTTACCTCCCTCTCCCCCCCACCTGTTCAATCTGTGGCAGAAGGAGAGCATAGGCTCTATCCGCATTCACAGAAGTACAGCAGCAGAGATGCAGCAGCAGCCAGTTGATACCCTCCCCCCAACCCCACTCTTCCCCCCCCCCGTTGTCCCACCCACATGCCCCAGAAGGAGAAGGTGGGTGTCATCCGCGTTGATGGAAACACAGCACAAGAGACGCGGCCACAGCTGGTGGAACTCTTTTGACCTGTGAGATTCCTCCTCCCCAACCCCCTCATTGTTCCCCGCACCCACATGCCCCAGAAGGAGAAGGTGGGTGTCATCCGCATTGATGGCGGCACAGCACCCGAGAAGAGGCAGCAGCTGGTGGATCGCTTTCAGGCGGCAGCAGACGTGCAAGTGGCGCTGGTGAGATGTGGGGATGGATGTGCGTTTAGGAGGGCTACGCTCCACTGCAGGGTATGGCGTGTGGTGTGATGGCGGCACAGTGGCGGAGAAGAGGCAGCAGCTGGTAGATCGATTCTAGGCGGGAGCAGACGTGCAAGTGGCTCTGGTGAGAGAGGGGTGGATGTGTCGTGTTTTAGTTACAGTGGGAATGCAGTATAGATTCGTTCAGCGTTTCTCAAGTTAAGATCCGTTGCAGCGTGAATGAACAACTGTGCCCTGTTTACTGTGTTTTATGTTGTTCATGTCCGTCTTTGTGTGGGTGAAAATGGAGGTGCCATTTGGCGGTCGGTGCATTTCAGTGTGAGTTCAGAGAGTTGGAAATCTCCTGCCTATCTCATGCCTCACTGTGCCCAGCGTAGGATTGGCCTGATACTGACAGTAAGCCTTTGCTGATATCTCTAGCTGCCAAACACTGCTCGCCATTAGCTGCATGGCATACTCCCATTCCCAAACAAACACCCTCCCATGCAGCCCACCCTTCCATTTCTCCCTCTGGACATCCTAACCCCTTCCCTCCCCAAACCTCCCCTCCCTCCTTATCCGCACTCACCCTCACTCACCCTCACTCATCTTCCCTCGCCCTCCCTCACCCTCCTACCCTCTCTCCATGCAGCCGACGTGGGCCTCACCCTAACAGCAGCCAGCACGGTGGTGTTCACAGAGATGGCGTGGAACCCAGATACTCCTGCATTCCCCTTTTCCCTGATTCCTCTCTGCTCCGCTGCTTCCCATGCAGCTGGGCATCCATGCAGCCGGCGTGGGTCTCACTCTAACAGCGGCCAGCATGGTGGTGTTCACAGGGATGGCTTGTAACCCGGGGAACCTGATCACATCCCTTCTCCCATGTCATCCCCTCATCCCCCTCTTCCCCTCATCCCCCTCTTCCCCTCATCCCCCTCTTCCCCTCATCCCCCTCTTCCCCTCATCTCCTCTTCCCCTCATCCCCCTCTTCCCCTCTTCCCCTCTTCCCCTCATCCCCCTCTTCCCCTCTTCCCCTCTTCCCCTCATCCCCCTCTTCCCCTCTTCCCCTCTTCCCTTCTCCTTCCTTCAGCTCGGCATCCATGCAGCCGGTGTGGGCCTTACGCTAACAGCGGCCAGCACGGTGGTGTTCACAGAGATGGCGTGGAATCCGGGGGACCTGGTTCAGGCAGAGGACAGGGCGCACAGGATAGGGCAGGTGGGTGCTGAGGGGTACAGGTGGGTGTTGAGGGGTACAGGTGGGTGTTGGGGGGTAGAGGTGGGTGTTGGAGGGTCGAGAAGCAGTTGTGGGAGGTGAAGGAGAATAGGGAGATGGAACCCGGGGGACCTGGTGCAGGCAGAGGACAGGGCGCACAGGATAGGGCAGGTTGGTGCTGAGGGGTGCAGGTGGGTGTTGGGGGGTCGAGAAGCGGTGGTGGGAGGTGGAGGAGGGCACGGAGATGGAACCTGGCGGACCTGGTGCAGCCAGTGGGCAGTGCGCACAGGACAGGGCAGGTAGGGTTTTGATTTGGTGCAGGGGGCACAAGATACGGCAAAAGCAAAGGTAGGGTTTTGATTGGTACAGGGGGCACAAGATAGGGCAAAAGGTAGGGTTTTGATTGGTGCAGGGCGCACAAGATAGGGCAAAAGGTAGGGTTTTGATTGGTGCAGGGCGCACAAGATAGGGCGAAAGGTAGAGTTTTGATTGGTGCGGGGGGCACAAGATAGGGCAAAAGGTACGGATTTGATTGGTGCAGTGCAGGGGGGACAAGATAGGGCAAAAGCAATGGTAGGGTTTTGATTGGCACAGGGCGCACAAGATAGGGCAAAAGGTAGGGTTTTGATTGGTGCAGGGGGGACAATATAGGGCAAAAGGGAGGGTTTTGATCGGTGCAGGGCGCACAAGATAGGGCAAAAGATAGGGTTTTGATTGGTGCAGGGGGCACAAGATAGGGCAAAAGGTAGGGTTTTTATTGGTGCGGGGGGCACAAGATAGGGCAAAAGGTAGGGTTTTGTTTTGATTGGTGCAGTGCAGGGGGGACAAGATAGGGCAAAAGCAATGGTAGGGTTTTGATTGATGCAGGGCGCACAAGATAGGGCAAAAGGTAGGGTTTCGATTGGTGCAGGGGGCACAAGATAGGGCAAAAGATAGGGTTTTGATTGGTGCAGGGGGCACAAGATAGGGCAAAAGGTAGGGTTTTGATTGGTGCGGGGGGCACAAGATAGGGCAAAAGGTATGGTTTTGATTGGTGCAGGGGGCACAAGATAGGGCAAAAGGTAGGGTTTTTATTGGTGCAGTGCAGGGGGGACAAGATAGGGCAAAAGCAATGGTAGGGTTTTGATTGGCGCAGGGCGCACAAGATAGGGCAAAAGGTAGGGTTTTGATTGGTGCATTGCAGGGGGGACAAGATAGGGCAAAAGGTAGGGTTTTGATTGGTGCAAGGGGCACAAGATAGGGCAAAAAGGTAGGGTTTTGATTGGTGCAGTGCAGGGGGGACAAGATAGGGCAAAAACAATGGTAGGGTTTTGATTGGCGCAGGGGGCACAAGATAGGGCAAAAGGTAGGGTTTTGATTGGTGCAGGGCGCACAGGTTAGGGCGTGTGGGCAATAATGAGTGGAGCCCGGGGCAAAGGAGCAAAGGGTGTGGAACCTGGGGGACCTGGTGCTGGCAGAGGGCAGGGCGCACGCACAGGATAGGGCAGGTGGTGTTGGGGGGTGGAGTGCGGTGGTGAGAGGTAGGTAGGTGGTGGGGGGTAAAGGAGACTAGGGCATGAAACCCGTGAGACCTGGTGCAGGCTGGAGACAGGGGGCACAGGACAGGATACGACAGGGCACAGGTGTGTGTTTGTCATAGGAGGATTGCAGAGATGGGTGGGTGGGGTGGGTATTGGGTCACTGTCTAGGCGGGGATTGAGGGGTGTTGGGGAAAGGTCGTGGACCCGAGGGATCTTGCCCAGGCAAAGGACAGTACACGGGATGATTCCGTTCGAGAGACGCAGGTGCGAGCTGGGGAGGTGGGTGTCGAGGGGTAGGTGCTGGGTGGGGGAGGTAGGTGCTGGGTTGGGAAGGTAGGTGCTGGGAGGGGGAGGTAGGTGCTGGGTGGGGGAGGTAGGTGCTGGGTGGGGGAGGTAGGTGCTGGGTGGGGGAGTTAGGTGCTGAGTGGGGGAGGTAGGTGCTGGGTGGGGGAGGTAGGGGCTGGGAGGGGGAGGTAGGTGCTGGGTGGGGGAGGTAGGTGCTGAGAGGGGGAGGTAGGTGCTGGGTGGGGGAGGTAGGTGCTGGGAGGGGGAGGTAGATGTTGGGAGGGGGAGGAAGGTGTTGGGAGGGGGAGGAAAAGAGAGCGCACAGGATAGGGCAGGCAGGTGGGTGTTGGGTCTTTGACATGTGGCACGTGAAAGCAGTGGAATGGAAACCAGGCAGGGCAGGGTTGGGAGGAGCCGGGGTGGCTTGGGGCAGGCAAGGATTGGAGCGCACGTGACAGGGCAGGGGGGTGTTGCTCTCCCTGCCTCACTCACCTGATCTCGTAGTTTGTGCTTTCTCCTCACCCCCCATGTTCTTAGACCTGCTTCTGTAATTTTCACCTCCCTCTGTTCTTTTCACCTGCTCTGCTCTGATGTGCCATCCAGGCTAACGCGGTGAACATCTACTATCTGCATGCCCCTGAAACCATCGACGACCTTATCTGGTGGGTGCTTACATGGTGTGTGCTTACATGGTGTGTGCTTGCATGGTGTGTGCTTACATGGTGTGTGCTTACATGGTGTGTGCTTACATGGTGTGTGCTTGTACGGTGGGTGCATGCAAATTTGTCATGTATGTAGTGTGTGCGCACATCTTTACATTGTGTGTGTATATGATATTTATCTTGCCCTCACCGTTTCTTGGAGGACATTCTGAGTATCCCTTCCATAGGGCAGTGAAGTTCTCATGCCCCCTCACCATGTCCAAGCATCCCTTTCCAAACTCACCCTCACGCTCCCCTTTCCCTTTCTGCCTTTTCTCTTGTCCCCCATTAATCGCCTGCGCTTGTCACAGGAGCGTCGTGCAGCACAAGCTGGAGAACCTGGGGCAGGTGGGTGTGTTGGGGGGGGGCCCGGGGGGGGGACAAGGTTTGTGTGCGGTAGGTACGGAACTTACATGGTGGGAGGGTGAACTGCCTTTCCATTGCCACCCTCCTGTGAGGAGCGTCATTCAGCACAAGCTGGGGAACCTGGGGGCAGGTGAGGCTTGAATGGGGTTCATCAGGCCGTCCAGGATTTCAGGGTGGCTCAGGAGATAATCTGAACCTTTTTCAGGGCGGCCTTTGAGAACTTTGAAAATGTCGGAACTGTTTACGGTTGTTTGCAATTTTCCACTTGTGTGAGTGGAGAAAAGAAGCAAGTGTGGCGCTTCGCTGTGTTTGCCTCTGCTCCCTCCACAAACGCTAGAAGGGCGCATGTGTTGTGTTTCTGACCCTGCGCAAATCTCTCCTTCCAAAGTTGCTGCCCTATTAATTTGATGAGGGATATTTGAAATCCTTCACCACGGGTGATGGATGGAGAGCACATACGTGCATGTGCACAAGCACCCTCGCCATGAACCATTCTCCTCGCCTTCTGCCTCGAGCGGCTCGTTTCCTGCGGTTGCCTCGAGCGGCTCGTTTCCTGTGGTTGCCTCGAGCGGCTCGTTTCCTGTGGTTGCCTCGAGCGGCTCGTTTCCTGTGGTTGCCTCAAGCGGCTCGTTTCCTGTGGTTGCCTCGAGCGGCTCGTTTCCTGTGGTTGCCTCGAGCGGCTCATTTCCCATTTTCCCTGCGTCCAGATGATGGGCGGAGAGCACCACCAGTCACTGCAAGCGCACAAGCACCCTCGCCATGGCGCCTCCTTTTTTGTTCCCCACTCCTCCTCCCGCCCGCATCATTCCTGTTCTCTCCACCGTCACTTCAACAGGTGATGGTGGCCAGCGCAGCCAGTCACTGCACGTGCACACGGACCGTCTCAAGGCTGCCCCCCCTTGTTCGTCTCACATACTGTTACTACCGTTCTACCATTCCCCCATTTCTCGCTACTTGTAGGTGATGGACAGAGAGCACAACCAGTCGCTGCAAGTGCACGAGGGCCCTAGGTGTACCCTTCACAATGGCCTTTTCTCACACGCAGTTCTGCTCCTGTGTCTCCAAATTCTCCTACTATCCCTGCTATTCTTCCCATTAACATGCAAACAGGTGATGGACGGAGAGCACCACCTGTCGCTGCAAGTGCGCAAGGACCCCCGCCATGCCAAATCCCCCTCTTCCTCTTCATTCCTGTACGGCTCTATTCCTGCGTCCAACCTGCAGGTGATGGACGGAGAGCACAACCAGTCACTGCACGTGCACAAGGACCCTCGCCATGCCGCCTCCTCTGCGTCTTCTGCAGCCAGGAGGAGAAGCGGGGGTGAGGAGCAGGAACAGGGCAGTGGGAAGTGGGGGGGGTTGACTCATGGCGGTGTGACCCATGGCGGTGTGACTCATGGTGATGTGACTCATGGGAGTGTGACTGTAGCGGGAGGTGGGGGTGGGGACGAGAAGAAGAGACAACGCACGATAAGCGAGATGTTTCAGCCGCCTGCTTAGTGCACCAGGACCCGCGCCATACTGCCGGGTCTGCTGCTCCGACAGCCAGGAGGAGAGGAGGGGGAGAGGAGCAGGAGCAGGAACAGGGAAAGTGGGAGGAGTTGGCTCATGGCGGTGTGTCTCATGGCGGTGTGTCTCATGGCGGTGTGTCTCATGGCGGTGTGTCTCATGGCGGTGTGTTTCATGGCGGTGTGACTCATGGCGGTGTGCCTCATGGCGGTGGGGGTGAGGACGAGAAGAAGAAACAGCGCACGATAAGGTCCCGCACCATGCCGCCGGCTCTGCTTCTCAGACAGCCAGGAAGAGAGGAGGGGGAGAGGAGCAGGAGGAACAGGGGAGTGGGAAGTGGGGGGAGTTGACTCATGTGAGTGTGATTCATGGGAATGTGACTCAAGGTGGGTGTGTGTTCTGGTTCTGTCTGGTCTGGTGGCGCATGGGTGTTCATGTTGTTGTATCCTAAGATGCTTGTGACCATGTCATCATGTCAACCCTGCTACAGCCTGTGTGTTTGTGTCAAGCGAGATGTGCTTGTGCCTGTGTGCTTCTTTCATGACTAGATGAGACGCATTTTGTGCCATTTACCCGTACCTATCAAAATATTGTTTGTTTGTTAGCCGTACCAAAGAGTCAAAGAAATACTCTATATTGTGGCAATGGGCTCCCGAGAACTGACCAGGCCACGCTTGCCGATGCCACTGCTTGCTGAGCTGGCAGCCTGGCACCCTTCCTACTTGTTTATTCTGCCACTCTAAGATGGTATCAGCGTAGGTTAGGTCCGCCCACCAGCTTCCGCCCTAGCCCTAGCCTTAGCGCCCCGCTGTCCTTAGCGCCCCGCTGGCCGTCCCCTACGCGCCCCGCCAGCCCCTTGCGCCCCGCGGGCCCCCCTTCACGCCCTCGCCAAGCCCTTTGCACCCCGCCGGCCCCTCTCGCCCCACTGGTCCCTTTCGCGCCTCACCAGGCCCTTCACGCCCTGCCAGGCCCTTCGCGCCCCGCCAGCCCCTCGCGCCCTGCTGGCCCCCTTTTGCGTCCCGCCAAGCTCTTCGAGCCCCGCCAGGCCCCTCGCGCCTCGCCAGCCCTTACGCGCCCCGCCGGCCCCTCTCGCCTCGCTGGCTGTTTCGCGCCCCGCCAGCCCTTTCGCGCCTCGTCGGCCCCTCGAGCCCCGCTGGCCGTTTCACGCCCCGCCAACCCTTTTGCGCCCCGCCGGCCCCTCGCACCCCGCTGGCCGTTCCGTGCCCCGCCAGCCCTATCGTGCTCCGCTGGCCCCTCGCGCCTCGCTGGCCGTTCCGGTCCCCGCCGGCTCCTTCCGTGCGCCGCTGGCCCTGTGAGCCCTGCCCAGCCTTTCACGCCTCCACCAGTCGGTGCGCCCCGCTTGCCTCGGCCGTGTTCGTCTTCCTTTCTGCCATGGAGCCATGCCGCCGTGGAGTCGTGCCCCCGTGCTGCCGAGTCACTGTGCTGCCGTGTCGCTGTGCCGCTGTACCGCCGTGCCGCCGTGGCGTCGGGTCGCTGAGATCGTACGATGGCGGACTCTGTACTCCGCCTGGACGCGGAGGGGCACGCACTCGACTTCGCCGCCTGGCTTGTCGATCTACGCCGTCACCTCAAAGGTCAGCGCCAGGATGGGCATTCCCTGGCTGTGCATGTCGATGGCTTGCTTCCCCGCCCCTCCGTGCCTGATCCCCTACCAGCTGACCCCACCACTGCTCAGCGTGAGGCCTTTTCTGCTGCTGCGCTTGCTCGCGATGTCTGGGATTCGCGGGAGGAGGTGAGGGAGACACCGGCGAGCGGTCAGGGGAGGGCAAGCCGAGCAGGCGAAGAGCGGAGACCGGCGGCGACGACTGCGGCGGCTGCTGCAGCGGCTGCTGCAGCGGCTGGTGCTCGACCCTCGAACCAGCAGGGGCACGACGACCTCCGGGAGAACACTCAACAGTAGCACCCCCATAACCAACACCTCCAGAGCGAGAACCCTCTCCAGCCCCAGCGGCACCCCCAGGCCCGCCAGGACAGACCACGCCAGGAGCCGCAGGACGAACACCCTCCTCAGCGCCAGCACCCCCAGAGGCCAAGAGCGGCAGCGGCGGCGACGGCGGCGGCGGCGGAGGCGGCGGCGGCGGCAGCTGCGATGGCGGCTGCGACGGTGGCGGCAGCGGCGGCGACGGCGGCGACTGCGACAGCGGGGGCGGAGACACCAGGGAAGGGGGACGCGGCAAAGGCGGGGCGGGGGAACCACCAGAGTCAGCAGACTCCTCAACAGGGACAACTGACGGGAGGGGAGTGACATGGGAGACACCAGACGGGGCAGGACGAGGCGGGAGGGGGGGAGGGGCTACCGGGGGAGAGGAGGCAAGGAACAGGGGGGGAGAAACCGGGAGACCTCGGTGAGGGAAGCGACGGTAGAAGGAGACGGACTCGTCAAAGGTGACGTCACGAGAGTGGAGGAAGCGGTGAGACTGCGGGTGGTAAAAGAGCCAGTCAGACGAGTCCAGGGGGAAACCAAGGAAGACATAGGGGACAATGCGGGCAGTGAGCTTGTCCGTGCCAGAGGCACGAACGTGAGCAAGGCAGCCCAAAACGTGGAACGCAGACGCGCCACCGGGGGACCCGGTCCAAAGGAGGGTCGGCGAAACCTGCGGCCGCTGGGAGCGTGGCCACAAGTTAAGCTGGTGAGCGGCGTAGCGAACGGCGAACGGCCACAGAAAATGGGGGGCATCGGCATGGATCATGGAGGTACGAGCTACCTCCATGACCAAGCCGATGCGGCACTCGGCAACCCCATTCTGCTGTGGCGATGCCCTCCGCACGACAGAACTGTCCAAGCCGACCGGAGGTGAACTCGCCGCCATGGTCAGAGTGGAGACACAATACTGGGAGACCGCGGTGAAGGCACGCAGCCACAACCCACGGTAGAAGAACGTCAGGCACGTCGGCCTTCCGCTCCAGGGGAAACACCGTGGTGTAGCGCGTGTAGTCTCATCTACTTGATGACTTGCACTCGTCCAGATCTCGCATACCCTCTCAGCATCCTGGCTCCTTTCGTGGCCACAGGGAGACACCGACCACAGCAATGGTCGGCAGCTAAGAGGGTTTTGTGTTAGCAAGTACATCGGGCATGGGACTTGTGCTAGGAGGACACAGACCAGTGGTCCTTACAGGGCATACAGACGCTTCATGGGCAGATGACATTGAGACACTCAGGTCCTCCCAGGGCTACTGCTTTAGCCTTGGTTCAGGTGCCATCTCGTGGAGGTCCACTCGCTCGTCATCTGTTGCCCATTCTAGCTCTAAGGCTGAGATCTACGCCGGCGCCATGGCGGCACGGAAGCTCCGCTGACCTTCTTGCTCACCGACTTAGGTGAGCGGCCTAGCTCTGCCCCGGTCTTGTACGCTGACATCAGGGCCATGATCCTATTGTGCCAGGAGCCTCGACTCGAGGGCAAAACAAAGCACATCCAGTTGCGGTAATTCCTCCTGTGCGAGCTACAGCAGTGCCGCCAGGCTCGCGTAGTACACTTGGCCCCCAATGCCAAGACAGCTAGTATCTTTACTAAGGCGCTTGCGCCTAAAGATTATCAGCGGCACTGTTTGCAACTTGGTCTTGTTCCTCTAGGTCCTCACTTGCTAGGACCTTGATTGTGTACTCCTCTTTATATATACCTTCTTGACTAGCCTTGTGGCTTCTCTTCCAGTGGCCAGACTAGTAGTGCCGCCCTGGCTTGCTCTTGTCGAGTTTGTACTCTTGTTGACTGGTCTTCGGACGCTTGTCTCAAAGGTTGGACTAGTAGTGCCACCCTGAGTTGCTTGTCTCTTGCGAGGCACTGCCCCTTGTCCAGTCTAGGGGGAGTGTAAAACATATTTGTATATGTTACTATAGCCTGGACAGGGGCGTGCCTCAGAGAATACAACACATTAGGTCAAAACTACCGTGTACCCTTCCTACTAGTTTATTCTGCTACTCTAAGACTTTGTGTTAACAATTATATTGACTACATCAATATCTAGTTAGGATAGTCATGTTTTTTATACCGTAATCACCCAGATAGATGTCCCTAGGGGCGTTTATAGGACTGGTTTGAAAACGTGGGGGGGCGTTTAATTGAATAAAAAATATATACGCATGGGCGTTTAAAACCCGCGGCCCAAATTGCGAGGCGCGGCCTTCAAACGCACTGCGTTTGAAAGTAGCGCTTTTGTGGGTGTGGAGTGGGGTAACGTGAGTCTCGCCACTCTGGGGGTGGCTTTCAAGTTCATTGCATACTGCAATTTGGAACTCCATGTATAGCACGTTTTTCGACCGTCTATTTTTCACAGATCTGCATCTGACGGCCCGGCAAACTCTTCTTTCCAACGCACCACCAGTAATTCAGGGCTCAATCGCAACCGTCCAAAATCTTGGGGTCGAATCTGGCGGTGCAAGAACACTTTGCAGTTCACGAGGAAAACACCCTCGCGATTATCCCGTGCGTTTCGTAAAACAGCACGCCCAGAGATCTTACATAGTGCGTTTGAACAATTTGGGCCGCGGGTTTTAAAAGGGTATATAGGCAAATTGATTTTTCTATATCAAATTGTAGCCTATGCTTTGTTTCATGCGATGGGATCACTTCTAACTAAGATTCTCAAGCAGGCCCTCAGATTTCATACAAATTTCCTTGCTTCCGGTTTTTTTTCAGAGGTTTTTTTTTTTTTTTTTTTTTTTTTTAATCAACCTTGATGCGCTAGGATTTTTTTTAGACACAACCCTGAAAGTTCAGGGTTTTTTTATGGCTAAACTCTGTTTGTACAGGGTTGCTATTGTAGTGGACCATGTAGCCTCTGTAACAGAGTGATTGCCTTGCCATGTTTCCCGTACTTGATGTGTGTTGGGGGGTTGTGTGAGGGGGCTCTTGGCCCTTCACCAAATGTAGGGCTTGCGTGTGCTGGGGGATGTGTGAGGGGACTTTTTGGCCCTTCGCCAAATTTAGGGCTAGCGTGTGTTGGGGAATGTGTGAGAGGACTTGGCCCTTAGCCGAATTTAGGGCCCAATGAGCGCCTTGGAGCGTTGTGTGAGGGCAAGATTTCCTCCTCCCGCTCCTACGAACTTGCTGCAACCTTGGATTGATCAGCGAAATTGGATTGGCCGAGACTTCCTGCAGAAATTCGCCGCAAAAATTGACAGCCTCAGCACACCAACATCATGATTCCCGCGGGAATCCTGCCTCCCTCATATCTCCCCCCCCCCCCCCCATTCTGCCCCGTCCCTGCCCTCCCCGAGTTCCGTTCCGCCCATCTCCCAATTTTGTAAAATCAGCGTGATATTCAGAAGTAACCCTGATTATTCAACTTTTTTTTTGGGGAGCCCTGAAAAATCTGGCTAAACATGGGGGGGGGGACCTGAGCAATCAGGATACCTAAAAACCAATTTGAGGCCCTGTTCTCAAGTCCATCAGGCTGAAAGTCCAGTCAGCAATGTGCCAAGCTGGAAAAAAACATAGGACTTTGACGCAAATCCTGCTGGCGCGAAGTGTCAAAGGGCGCAAATTGCGCTTTCGGCTGGCACAGAGCGAGATTTCTCACTATTACCCGAACTCGTTCCTTCGTTTTTGCACAGTTTTTTACGAAATAAAAGAGGAGCGTATAGGGTACCCATTTTCGAAAAGAAGGGGGGG